TTTGCCGTTTGAGTTAAGACTCCAATTAAATAGGAGTTTATATTATAGTTGAAATCGCTCTGACATATGTTTCAACTTGCTTCTATTGTTCAATTAGCCTCGCTCTATTCTTGTCAAGGACTATTCGATAAATTTTTTATCGCAAAGGAAAATTTTTCCTATGTTTCACCGTGTAAGAATATATCAAGAAGGAATTATACTTTTCAAATAAAGATGATCAAGCTATACAATTTTGTAATTTGAAAAAAAAGAGGTAAACAAAAATATTATATTAACAAAATTCGTATGTTTTTTTCATTCAAATTATAGATATTAATTGACGTATGTTTAGGAGTTTCTTAATTCATCGATTGATCAGTCGCATTATATTAAATATAACTTGCTCTGTTAAAGTTGTATTTGCATATAATGCGATAAATCAATCGATGAATTAAAAAGTTTGTCTTTTATTGTAAAAATAATTGAAAAAACTGATATGATTCATCTCTTTTAGTGTCGTTTACATAGGATGCGGAAGCGTCACTTTGTAAATTCCATCAGAGAACGGATCGGAAAAAAGAGAAGTTTCATTGCTATTTCCGCTCGTGTTCGCATTCTGACCTAAATAGCATTCCCGATTTTCAGGTTCGATCCCATTCACGATTTTCCTTTCGGATTATGTTATCTCGAGATCGATGGTTGGTGGTTTCTCACATCGTTGTTTAGACCTACCTGCTAATTCGACAAAACCTGTCTCGATCGGTTCTCGTTATCTTTCACGCTGCGGTGACGTTTACAGTATCGTGCCCGTATCCTAATCTATCGGTCGGTGTTCCCCAGCTCGAAACGAGAAGTGATATTTCCTCTCTTCCCTCTCCGTCATGGACGTGACAATATTTGTCGCGACCAAGGTGAGAGCAATAGGTGCGGACGCACATTATTTGCCCTATTCCCTGTGAGATGCCGTCTATTTGCCGAGGCTTTGTTTCCACCAGTTTCCGTTTCCTGCGTCAACACGGCGGCTCTTCTGATCCATCCGGTCAACCGAATACGCACAACTGCTTTGGATATCAAGATAAGCGACTTCTCGGTCACCTTCAACTCCTGATTACAGCCTGACATCTCTCCGTTTGTTCATATCGCTTCTGCGGTAAAACGTCAGAAAAACTAGAAGATCACCGGATTTTTGAGCTTTTAGAAAAATAAAACTTTAGACTTTAATAAATATAATCTTAATAATATATGCGATTAATGAAAAACATATAATAATTGAATAATTGTGACTGCGACTCAACGAAATAGCGATTGCAATTCTTACGAATAAGATTGATAATTTTTGAGACAGTAATCTTCAAATTACAATAGTTTCTTACAATCATACGTAAAGTTATTACATAATTGTAATCAAACTTCACAGTAAATTTGTTCAATTTCTGACTTATATCACTCTCTCACTTCAAAAGTTATACAATTAAAAGAAACGTGATTTTCGAATTAATACCATAAATAAGTTAAATATCTATATTATCTTTTCTATCAATTATTAAAAGTAAATTATTTAACTGTAGTTTTTAAAAATCATTAAAATTGTCATAACTGTAAGAAAAGATAGTTAAAAAGAAAGTTAAAATCATCATAATTATAAAAAGAGATGATTTTTAAAAATTGTGACAAAAATGACAAAAATAGTATTTAATCATGTTACTAATACATTTTTTGTCGATGAAGCGTATTTTTTGAATATAGGGCCTTTATATTTACATTTTATTACAGTTTCGCAATTTTGAATATTTTGTTTATAATTAATAATAATATCACTTATTATTAATAAAATATAATTTGAATTCATATCGCAATAAACAAATAATATTGATGGGTTTGGATAGAAATATATGGAGAGTCTCGATATTTTTCAAGTCAACTTCCGCAAATTTGTTACAAATCATTGTAAGATTGAATAAAAATTTTAATGCAGAAAGGAATAGAGTAACTCAAAATAACTCAAGTAACTTCAAAATTGTTTTATTGTGCGAATTTCTTTTTGCATTAATTGTTTAAATTATCTTGTATTGAAAATATTTGCTCATTGTTATTTTCTCAAATTTCTTGATAATTTGAAGTTTATGTTGAATGTTGTAGACTGTTATGTGATTATTTTATTTAATTAGATTTTGCAATAATTTTTCTAGACGCGAAACAATTATTCATTAATACGAGATTATTATGATCGTAGTTGTCTTTTTGCTGGAGTAATCAGGTTTTTAATAAATTTTTTGCTTTCTTCAGCACGTGGAAAAATGGTATCCAACTCAAGAAAACTCCAGTTTTGAAAAGGAATTTCCGGCATAATTTTTATGACCCTTTTTTTTTATAAAAAGCAGTAAAACATTATGGTCTTTCTTGCTTATTTGAACAGATTATGACCAAATATTTTCACCATTTTTTTCTTTTGAAAATTTATCTTCGACAGAATGTGACAATATTATAGTCTGGAAATGGCAATATCATCAATGATAATTTTAACTCAGAACGAAAACATCAAAAATTACATCATAAAGCATAAAATCTTTTTGTTTTTAATTTAAAAATTAAATTATATTATATACTTTTAAGATATATATATAATAAATATGTTGATAATCAAATAATATATATATATACAATCAAATACAATTTAATTAAATTTGGCTTGATATTAAATGTAGAAAATCTAGCCAAGAACTCGATATAATTAGCAACATTGAGTTCAACTCTATCGACGTTTCAATACCATTCGCTGCATCATTATTTTACACCAAAGCAGTTAAATACTTTTGACATCGGCAATTTATACAGTAATCAATATGTATTCCTAACATGCCATCGTATACGTCAAAAATATTCAAACATCTCTTAATCTGTCATTTAAATCGCCATCAAGGCAACGAAGACTACCCTCTATTTACTATTATCCAAGTTTCTATTGTCATTCCGTTGCCTTTCCATCTTTGGCGATGCGTTTTCGCAGGCTGAATCGGTGGCCACACGGCTCGGCGGTGAAGTCGCCGCATGCCAAGTTCGTCGGCGTCGTCTTTGTTGCCAATCGCTCCCTCGTTTTCTTCCTCTTCATCGTCCTCTTCTTCCTCTCTTCATCGTCGTCAATCCTCTTTGCCGTTCCCGAGGAATTTTTCCACCACTCGATCATCCTGGTGACTCGTGAGGGAGGCGATCATCCCGTCCGCATAGGATTGTCCAATGAAGCGATACCGCAAGATCTCGATGGGCGGCGCCCGGAATCCCGGCGATGGCTCTCCGGCCCGGCGACTTCGTGGTGGGGCCCCGTGGGGCCCGAGCCGGCCGCCTGGTGGGGGGATTGACATCGACTACTGTGCATTTCCCACGTGCCCTGGGAACCCCCGCGGCATCGTGTCAGCCCCCGCTCTTCGCTTTTGCACGCTCCTTCCACCTCCATCTTCTCCCACACTATCTGCTTCTCATCGTCAGCAGCAAGCGTCTCTCCTTCTGTCTGCCTGTCTGTCTCGCTTTCTTTTTCTCTCTGTCTTTCTCTCTCCCATTCTCTCTCTCTCTCTCTCTCTCTCTCTCTCTCTCTCTCTCTCTCTCTGCTTCTGCTTATCTCTACCTTTCTCCCCGTCTTTCTTCACCTAGTGCAGTAGAAATCAAGAAATCGACGCACCCGTGGATTTTCTCCCGAGAATCGGTACATCGCTTCGTCTTTATGCGTAGGTGTCGGAATTACTACGGCGATCGCGCGCGCTTATATTGTTTATCCGCGAAAATATCTGCAGCTCTTTCCTTCATCCAAAGTTGACCGGCAACACATAGTGATACTTCTACATATACAGATAGTCAGGTAAGATAGATGGAAGACACGCATGCCGAAGGGAGTCAGTGGCTCTAGCTTTTGGATACGAGCGCTACCTCCGTAGCTTTTTACGGCCAGGGTTGGCTACCGCCCCCGCGGGGGGTATCCTTTTGGAAAAGGGCGAAGGCGGAAGGAAGCGGTATTCGAATACTTTAAAAGAAGGTAGGGGAGACACCTCAACGATTATGTACCAGAAGGGGTCTTAGCGTGGGTGAAAAGGGATGCTCTCGTCTCACGGTTATGAGGGCGGGCCCAGACACGGTGCGGTGGAAGGGATCAGAACCCGTAGAACGTGGAAGAGAGGGAGCAACTTCGCGGGGACAGTTGAAGGGAAGGGAAGGAACGGGTACACCAAGCAGGAGCTCAGGAAGCCGCGTCGACGAAGGATTTGTGAATAACCGCGCTGCTATTCGGCGACCGGGTGAGACAAGGACGCACATAGACTCGGGACAAGGCGCGCTACCACTTCTTCCCTTCTTCGTCGGACTTCCTCTTCATCATCGTCTTCATCTCTTCCTCTGCTAACACCCGCCGTCACCCTCTTCCCTCATTTTCCTTCTTCTGCTCCCGTTCCTCCTCCGCATCCTTCTCACCACCACCACCTCCTCCTTCACCTCCTCCTCCCTCGCCTCCCTGGCCGCCTCTTTTCTACCTCTACCACCGCAACGAGGTCGAGGAAGGAACATCCTGGACGTGTACGTTCCTCGTGGAATTGAAGGGAGACTACCTTCACACGATAACTGGTGGGTATCGGTGAGTTGGTTCGGTAGGGAGGTGTCTCCCGGTCCTCCAACCAGAAGAAGCCAAACGACGACGACGACGAAGAGACCTTTGGCGGTTACACACGGCGTCCTACCGTCTTCTGGTGTGCCTACCTATTCGGGCTACCAGCGAACCGAGCGACCAAACGAAGCTTCAGTCGACGCCGCGCACCCAAACGGTCCAGACCTGTCAGCCCGGAAGACACACGCGCAGCAACTCAACACTTTCACGAGCTACCGACCTACTAAGTAATACGGAGATCCCGACTGTTGGCAGCGTGATACTATACGCGCACTACAGTTCGTTTTTTTTACAACTCACCGCATTTCGCGAGTTTCGTTCTTTCGTCGAAAGTTTACGCTTTTATTCAAGTTCGAAAATTATCCTTTGCGGGAGAGAACTACTGGACGTTGCTCGAGGACGAGTCCTTATTCGCATTCTTTCTGTCTCTATCGGTAAGTCAATTCATCGTTTTATCTAGCATGTAATTTCAATAATATATTACAATTCAATAATATATAAATTACATTTCAATTATATTTAAAACAAATTTAAAATACATTTCAATAATATATAAATATAATTATATTTGAGATTGAAATTATAGTTGTTTATTATATGTACACACTTAATATAATAACTAATTAATTATTAATTCAATAATATTTGAAATGACATTAACTGAAAAGATTAGTTACATTGTTTAATAAATCTAATATTTTCTACAAAATTGTATCTCTCTTTCTTATTCTTCTTCTTTTTCATTGTATCTCGGGTTATTAGAATATATTAAAATAAGTACATTTTAAACATATATAGAACATTATTAAAGTTTCGTTTATTGAATACAGTATCACGTATTAATATAGTTTTGCTTGAATATAATTCTCTCTCTCTCTCTCTCTCTCTCTCTCTCTCTCTCTCTCTCTTCTATTTGTTTCTATTATAATATGTTAATATTTATTTCAAAATTTTTTAAATTTATGTGAGACGACAAAATAAAAAAATCGGTTCTTGTGCTTTATCAGGAATTAATTCTATCGTTAAGCTACTTTTATATCTTGCAATTTTTGCTTCATTTCACGATGAAAATCATCGCCAAATATTACTTAAATTCTGTAGGCAAAATTCTGAAAGCAAGAATATATCTATTAAATCTTCGAATCTTTGCATTTTCTATTGCCTCCACGTGTTAAGAATTAAATGAACGGGAATAGGGGTGTGGTCTATATTCGTTCATGTATATCAAATCCTTGCTTCTGAATCAGTAGCAGGCTGTAGGGCGGTGCACAGTAGCTACTGCATTTTGATTGGTCCTCAATCTTGCGGGTTGTGTCCACGGCGATTTTACGATGGTCTCCTTCAAATTTTCTATTCACCAGTTTTTTCTAGTAATTCATGTTTTCAATTAATCATAACAATTTTTTATAGATCATACATCTTCCAAACACACAATTTTAAGTTTTATATTATAGATGATTTTCTAAAATTCAGTTCATTTTTAATTTCTTGCGATAATATTCAACAATAATATTCAACAATTCGGGTAGTTTATATAATATTTGTAATAAAGAGATGATAAATAAAATTTGAACTAAAAAATAAATAAACACTTTTTATTTTGAAAACTTGCTTACCTAGCTACTTTTTACGTTGATTAATATCTGATTACTATAAAGCAATTATCTTAATTATGCTCATATTTCCTATACGATCCTGAAATTTTATTTTAATCATTTATATTTCAATCATTTTTCTTCTCTTATTGCGTAAACGCAAATCGAGCTGCAGCATGCGCCCGTTCAAGATAGAGATTTAACAAAGTTCTTGCCTACCAGTCACCTATACGGATCAAAACGGATCCATCACGAAGCCATTTTTCTTTAGCGCCGCGCGTGGCGCGAGTCCGCGCGATAGGTAATATCTCTCATGAGAAACGCCCTTGCGTGATCGGCCGCGTACCCCCGTTGGCATCGCGATTCGACGTCTAAACGGCGGAGGGAGGGTGTGGTCCCACTTGGTGGACTTCTCCGGCTGTTCAGTAGCGACTGGCCGAAAACCGGTAGTCGGCGGTAGGGCGGTGCACAGTAGCGACTCTTCTTTGGTTGGCTACCGGCCTTCTCGCTGTGGCGAGCGAACGAACGAGGGCTACCGCTCCTTCCTTTATTCCTCCATACACGCGAGAACGAGTGCACGCACATCGAGCCGGAGCTCACTTGGTTGGCCGTTCTCCGTTCTTCTTCGATTGGCTGCCGGCTCTTTGTACCACGCACTCCGCCCTTCGTATCGCGCGATAGAACGGAAGGTACTCGTGATTGCCCTTTTTCTAAAGTCTCAATAATTTTGTTGATATACTGTCGAACATCTCTTTTAGATTGCCTTCATTAGGAGTAACTCTTGAGTGCAACGAAGTCCTTTGATTATTTTTCTCATGAACAAATTAGTACGAGATGAAATTTATCTTGATTATAGATAGTTAATGTATCCAATTTTCAATATCCAGAGGTACTATTCACTACAAAGCACGTATTATACGATTATTCGGAATGGATTCCGATTGGAATCTATTTCGAATAATTCCATAATACGTATTCAGTACAGAAGCTTGTAGCAAATTACTGCTGTATGGATATATGAACGTACATTGTTATACGTATTATTAATGATTTTGTAATATTAAATCCATTTGTACGTTTGTTTTTCTCTATTTTGCTCTTATAAAAAATCTAGCTTATTTGTATTAATTATATCAGAATACAATGACTTTTCTATTGCGCGAATTGAATTAATAATCATGAATAGCACGATCATCTTTATATGCTATAAAAGTTAGATTACATGATATCTATTTTAATTGCTTATTTAATCGTCGCAATTCTATTCCCGTCAAGAGGAAGCCTCACTTAATTATTCCGCGCATTCCCTCCTCTAACGTTTTTCACAAAAAAATTCACTTTTGCATAGCTCCGTACATATCAAAATGCTTCGCCTATTCGCATATCTTCGTCTAATATGGCGCATTCATAAACGCGAGCGTCTACATATATCGTATTATCATACATTATCATACATTATCATACATTAAATGAAAGCATTCGATCACGCAAACTCGGTAGGCAAACATGGTAGCTGGCACGATGTTCGCTTTTCAGTAATACATCGTTAACTCGTGCTCGTATTTGTTGCTTCGCAAAATTCTTATGTCTTGTTACACTCGCAACTTTGTATATTTCATTTTGCAGGCGTTCCTTTATCTCGCAGAATATCATTGAAACGAAAAATAACTCGGTAGCTTAAGTCTGTTATTTTTTTCTGCATTTTTATCATCCAGTCGAATTCAGTAAACTTAGCGGTTATCACAAAGAACACGATCATATATTATCGACTCAAGATTATATTTGCACGTCCTCATCGGCATCGTCTGTAATATAAAACCTGAGCGTTTACATGGCTAATGTCGTTTTCCTCAGCACCCAACTCATTAACGCACAACTCATTAACTTCGCTTCACGCAAAGTGAGAACCTGTTCCTACCACATGTATCCGTCTCGGGTAATACAAGCGTACTGTGACCTCGTAACTCTTCGACAAGATTGCCATGTAGTAGCTGGCGTTACCGTTCGTTTCTGCGAATGTACATCAATATCCTGCGACAGTAGTAGCTTTGTGTCAGTTTGTTATTCGAAAGTAAAATGACTAAATTTCAGAAGGGACAAGACGTTAGAAAATCTTATCTGAAAGTCTTCTCTGGAAATAAAATTTCATATGGTTTCTATTCTAACAAATAACTGCATAAATAAATGATTTTTGCCATACCTACAAAATTACAAAGGATATTGTGGTTTTCTCTCTGTCTCTTTATTTACGGATTTATAGGGTCGTTAAATCCTTGGAGACAAGGGAGAGTTTAGTTTACACAAAATCATAAATCCACATGTACCCAATATTTGCACGTAAACTTCTAACGGAGTGACGAAGGTGTCCCGTTTGAAGACAGCTATACAGTATTATTTCTGCATATTTTTCTACATTTTTTGTCTTTACGTGACCCAGCTATCATTGGATGGATATTTATATGAGGTCTGAATCAGCGTCGGACGTCAACGACGATGAGAGCAGACAGAAGCGTGATATTTTACCAGGGGACGGATCTCTTTTTTTTAAATGTGGAGTCGCGCGTAATGCGCAGTTCCGATTAGGCTCCACCGCCTGTTAGCCACGCTAACCAACCGGGCTACGCCCAGGCACCGCTTATTACTCATTCGGACACGCCACTTTATTCGAGCGTGCGCCGTGCGCTTAATGCGAGCCGGTAGCGACTGGCCGACACTCCTGTACAATGGCCGCACCGCGCGATTGAATCCCGCGGGCTATTTTAACATGCCGATTCCAATTCGAGAACCGTGCCATTAGACCGTGGCAATACGATTCCGATCCCTCATTCATATCCGGCTGAGTATCATGCGAGAGAGTCCCAAAAGTAATACTTACACGAGGTATAATTTGGCATATTGTACGTATCTTGAAAAAAAAACTAAATTTTAATAAGTCATTTGTTTGAATAGTGCCAAGTAAATATTTATTTAATAAATATAGATATATATTTATTTAGTACAAGAATCATTAAATTTCTTTACTTACTTTATTATTATTTCTTTTTATTGAATAAATATTCATTTGCTGTACGTAAATATTTAGATGGCATTTAAATAAATATTTAATTTTTTTTTCAGTATACAATTCATATTCCTTTCTATTTTTATCACGAAGGGAATATCTCCTCTGGATATATGCGTAGCGGCGGAAATATTAAGTAATAAAATAAATATTAATTTTTGACGCGTGAAAATGGAAATGATTTCAGGAATTCGATTACATCAGATCTCTTAAATTATTTCCAAAGTTTAAAAGAGATCTCAAGGCGATCATGTCGAAGATTATTTATAAACGGTACAAAGTAAAATGTAAGAAATCGAAAAATAAATTTCGGATAATTTTAGTTTGATGATTTTTAATTATAATTATTATAATTATTATGCGAGATAAAAAAGTGTATATAATATGAAGAAGAATAAATATATGCGAGCAACATATTTTGAACGGATTATTGTGTTTTTTTTATCAATGGTTATCATATAGTTATCATATAAACAGTATTTTACTTAAATTTTATTGAAGAACTTAAAAATTAACTCATATTAATCACATAAAAATTAATCGGTGACTCATTACTTTTATGCTTTTTTTTAGAACAACGTCGCGAGTTCGGAAAATATTTTCATGATTTGCGTGGCGTTGGATAGTTAACGTAAAGATTATGGATCGTATTTGCGATGTGCATTTAGCGCTAATAGTGGTTCTTTCTCCTCGATTACCATGAATGTGTACAGCATCTCATATGAATGAAACTTAAAACTGGACAGTCGCGTGTTTGAAATTAAATATGCCCGGAGGACGTGTCGGAGCTAATGATTTAAACTTGCGAATGGAGCAGACGCACCCAATTAGGAAACTAGTCATTAATTTTTTTCGGAAGCACACAGCTTTTTATGGGCATTCACATTATGTTTTTCTTTTGCTGACTGAGAAACTTAACACATAAATATTTAAGATAGCCAACAAGTTTAAAACGGTATATTATTTCTAACAGATTTTGCGAAAAAATTTTATTTATCATTTACCATTCATTCCTAATTCTATTTAGGAATAATTAAGTATCGTATATAAATATCTTATAATTTCGTGTAACTTGGTTTTTATAGAGTTCTAAATAAAATTATATAGAAGATGTTTATATGAAAATTCTACGAATTCTCAATTATTTAATGCATCGATGTAATAGGTTTTTTTCATTTATGTTTCTTATAGACACAAGATATAATATCTATTAATAACATTATAAATTATAATACTTAAAACAATACAATTGTATCGCTTATTTACAGGAGTAAATTACAAAAAAGTAAAATTACAAAATAAAAGCTGCTTGTGACATTTCTGTTAAAAATGTTAGACATTCTCTTATCTTATTTATATATAAAAATATTATATATATTACAATTACATATTATTTTTCACATTTCCAGAATTATCATATTATTTAAAATGAATGATATCTTACAATAGACTTTCCTCGCAGAGTCAGTTGTAGTTATAGCTTGTGTTTCAGAGTTACTCTTTATATACATAGATAAAGTACTTCCCTATGTATGTATTTTTAAAAGCAAATTCTCAATAAAATATCGCGATAATAATTCGATCGGAGAGAATTTCTATTCCGTAAGGCGCATTGGCATGCGCGTGTCTCTCCACCTACGCATCTTCGTAAGGAATGCAAAATACTTCAGAAGTAGCTTTAACGTTACTAACCCGTTGCTCGTAGGCAACGGCGCTTCGCGTAAATATTTCAGATACAAGCGTTCCTCGCGAATACTTCGCTCTCGCGACTCCGAGTGATTCCCTCGAGCGTGCGAGTCAGATCGGAGGAGAATCATCGATTCTGTGCTCTTTGCAGGCAGCGATACGAGGATTCTCTCGCGACGTGGTACAAGTAGTGATCTCACTCCCAGGAGTTAGCCGTGTCCGAGACTAGCTTTGAGCGGGAGGAGAAGAGCGAAGTCGAAGAACGACAGTCAAGAAAGACAGATAAAAAGAGAAGAAGAGAGAGCATACGAAAGTCTGCGAACGAGGCAAAGAAAGATAAAGAGAAAGAGAGAAAAAGAGAGAGAGAAGAGAGAGAGTGACGAAGAGGTACTAAGAAAGGGGACAGAGGAAGATAGAAGACGTGGTGGGAGTGACTCCGGGCGTTAGCAAGAGAGCGAGAGAGGCGGGTAGAGGGAAAGGAGAGATAGAGACTCGACCAAGAGAAGGAGCGGTGGGAATTTATAAGGATGTTCGCGATAATGCCGATGGAGACAGAGGGGCACGGCAGGGAGTTCGGCCGGCGGCAGAAGATGCGCGCCAAGTGCACGGTAGAGTTCGTCTGTAAGTACTGCCAGCGGCGCTTCACGAAGCCCTACAACCTCATGATCCACGAGCGCAGCCATAAGGACGACGTGACCTTCACCTGCGAGGTCTGCGGAAAGACCTTCAAGCGGCAGGACAACCTCAAGCAACACAGGTACACTATCATATTTCGTTTTTACCATTTTTTTTTCACTTCGTTTTATTCGTCAGTTTTTGTTAAATACGTTTAAATTTTTTTTTGTTACGTTTTATTTGCCCTTCGAGGACTACTATTTTTGCGCGCTCGCACGGGACACGTACGTGATCTGATCCATGATCAATCGCCGCGATCTCTTGAGTACTCTTTAGGGGGTCCCTTACAAGGGTCCTGTACGAGTATGGCGTCGCGTATATGAAAGAGAAACCCGTGACACACACACCTAACGTAGTAGAATATTGCTAATGTTTCTGTGGAATATCGCGACAACCGATCGTGAATCAGACGTCAGTGCGTGACTCTCACTTGCAAGAACCTGCACTCGAAAAGCAATAGAGAAGCTATCGGGAGACGTTTTGCTACGCGTCCTCGTTGTTTGCCACACGACAAAATGGGATGATGGAAAATGATTAGTTCTCAGTCAGCAATCAGCTCGAGAAGTCGAGCTAGATTGAAATTAACTGCTATTAGATTGCGTCATCGGCTATCGTAGATCTTTTTGTTGTGATTATTTATTTTTTTACAAAGCATAGATAATAAGGACAAAAATTGTGATTCTATTGTATGTATTGTAATTAATAATCATTTTGATGTCAAATAGTGAAAAAAGGAAAGTTCAATGATATCTATGTGTTAGATCATTTTTATTATTTGCCTTCATATAATAACCGTAAAAATTAAATCTACTTAGTTGCGCGTAGAACTTTCGGTTAAGATGAGATTGGCATCTGGAAAACCGGTCAGGTCACCGATTTAACCTTTCGCAAAAAAAAAGATTCGTAAAAAAAAAGATAGCAAAAAGAAGCTAATACTTTATGATTTGCTTCGAGAACTAATCTAATCCATGATTTGATAACTTCTCGATAAATATCTCGTCGCTCGCAAAATTATGAGACATAAAAAAGCACGAATTATTGACTAGCTTCTACATAATGAAACAAAGATACTGCACAAAAATGAGTGGAATATTAACCCTTAGTAGACACGTTTGGTTTGAGTACTTTTAATATACACGTTCGGTCATTCGTGTCTTGACTTAATTTTCATCATTTTTATAAGCATATATAAATTATTAAACAATTTTGACATATATTTTGAAAGTATTTGTGCAGTTATATATTCATAACAAATTGTAGATAAATTGTTGTAACTAAATGTAGTTAACAGAATCAGAAAAATGCACTGTTTCATATAAAAATATAAAACTCTGAAACAAAAATGTTTAAAGGAAAAGTGTGGTTCAGTATCTTAAAATTAATATTCCAAACTACAAGAAAAAAAATAATTCAAGTATCGGCTGTCCAAAAAAATTTAGTTATTGAGTAACTTGAAAATGATGTTTTTTTTTAATATACATGAATGGCTATAAATTGAAGATATATTGCATTTACATTACAAAACAATAGATTTTATTACTGCTATTATATTATATTAAATATATTATATTAAAAAAATTTATAATTTATTAGGAACAATGTTCTTTCTAACATTACAGACAACATAATATATAATATTATTAACAACTTTTAGAACGAAGGAACCAAAAATCGCGTTTATTAAGGGCTAATATGTTATTGTTTTAGGGTTAATTTCTTTTTTTAATAATTTGCGAAATATTTTTATAATACAACCGAGAATTGAATCGAGTTGAAGTTTTAAAAGAAAAAAAAAATTTTTTAGTTACAGAAAATATACGCTCTGTACACACCTTGGGTCATTTGTGACCCAGAAGTGAACTTTGGAGTTATGCCAGTTAAAGGACATGAATCGAGGCCGGAAACGCCCAAAACTTGTTCTCTAGATGCCAAACTTTTTTTAGTAATAGAAAAAAGACCGGTATTTGACCAGGTACTTAGTATTTCAAAAAAAGAAATGGGCAGGACACGAATGACCCAAACATGTCTACTAAGGGTTAATATTATACATAAAAACGTCTCACGATGGTCCTTTAGTTATTATAACATTAACGATGCTGGCGCAAACCGTTCCATGCGTAAAAGATTTGTCATTTAAAAAAAAATGGATAATAATATAATAAATATAAAATGTATAGTATAAAGAAAAACATGCAAATACCAACCACTTGGCCGCACCCGAATTAATTTACAGTTTTATAAATTGTATCTTTGTGTGATCCGAGCTATCTTATTTGTGACTCAAGACATTTTATTTTTGCTATGTATATAAGGATGTCAATGCAATGTCAACGCAATGTCAACGAGCAAAGAAGAAGATATATTAGTTTAAAGATATGGCGGATCACGGAGAAAAAGATGCGATTGAGAAAGATTTATATGAGTCATTTTTATGCATATAAAATTAGTTTAAGTCTATCAAAGAAAGGATGACATCATATTACAGCAGAGAAGGATTGCGTCGATCACTTTTGAAAGTGATACAATAATAAATTATAATTAATTACAATTTTTATAAATATAAGTTAATTTAATATTAAATCATAAATTTCACTTAAATTTTAGTTAAGATATTACATCAATATGCAACAGATTCCAATGTAAATTATTCTTGTGCAATTTTTATCGTTTTTCTGATTTCGGTCAAAGTGTGTTCTTTAAGTTAACAAGAAAGTTAACTATCGACGCTAACTATCGCTTAAGCGGTCACGGTGCTGACCTCGAGAAGGTCAAAACCATTGGTTCGGCCGAAGGAAATCGCTACCGCGTTGACCTTTCGCATCAATAGCCTTGTAATGTTGCAACGTGTCGCCTTCACCTGCCTCACGGCAAATAGAAGCGCGAATTCTCGGGAGAGAGAAGAGATCCGCGAAGATCCGCGAACTTTGCACTCCTTCTCTTGCCTACGGGCGCGAGTCGATGAGTCGGCGTGGCGTGTCGGTCCAGCGAGTCGCGCGCGAACAAGCGGGCCCATAGAATCGGCCTGACCCATAAATCAATCTGAAATAATGCTGCCCCCGCATGGAACGTGTGCGCGAGCGCGTTTGAACGAGCGAGCGATAAAATAAATCTTCAATACTGGTGGATACTAATGGATACCTTGTATGTAACGGCGGTGGTCTTGTTTTCTGTTCTGTTGTAGATGTGGGTGGCGGTGAACGGGAGCTCTGAACCTCCTGCACCTTGACACATGCACAACACACACACACATACACACACACACACACACACACATACACAGAGGCACGCACGCACGCACGCATACAAAATGGACACACCATTAATAATACAAACTGCAACAATAATGGCAACTGCAACAATAACACTAGACAACAGAGTATGACAATAATTGCAACACCACTACAACCATGCACTTTTTTATTTGATTATCCGCACTTTTTCCCGGTCGTGGCGAATGCACGATCAACAACTATGTCACTACCGCCACCACAGAAAAAAAACCCCAGCATGTGTATACTACTTTTTCTTCTTCTCTTCCATCTTCCTCTACTTCTTCTCCTCTGTCTGCCTCTTTCGCTATTTCGTCTCCTCACTATGTCTGCGACTTTTACTACCCTTACGGCGACTTCTTCATCGTCGGCTATTTCTTGTACTAACACAGCGCGCACGAGTCCCACGCTTTAACGAGACGGCAGAAATGATTGATAGATAGAAAAGGAAATTTAAAGGATGAATGGGAAGGAAGCGAAGGGTTTTCCCTGGAAATGTACTTTCCTCATCTTCCGATTTCAACCATCTTTGTTCCAGGAGCATACACTCTGTTCCCTACAAGGGCTCCAACGGCTACTCAAATGGCTATTCAAATGGCTACTCTAGGTATTAGAAGCCATCCGGCCAACTATCCTAAACTCCCGTAGACACGCGTTTCTCTTTCTCTATTGAATGCTCTAGCTACCAGTTCTTCCTGATGTCCCTCCTTTATTAGAGCAATCCTTCGCGTCGATCCTACGACATGCCAAACTTGCAAATGATGTCATGTTCGCATATGGCAAGGGAATCGCGATACTTCGTCGATTTTTGTCATCACCCTCGCCTATCACCCTCGCATCTAGTTCATCCGTCCTGCTTCTTTGAATTTTTTCGCTTCTGCTCACCCTCCTGTATTCCGAGCCTACACCCAGACGTCAGCCACATCAGAAGAATCTTCGATTCAACCTAACACGAAGCACCATTGCAGAACACCGAGAACGATGGAAGCTATTATATAGCGACACGACAGACAATTGTAATTTTATCGAACTTCCTTTGTAATTCGACTTATTTCAACGAGTAATTCTTGCTAGATATGTGCCAAGCGATTGACGATGTTTGAAATGTTATGGAATTCGCTGTTTAAGATATTATTGGATACATGATATCAAATTTGTATAATTCGAGAACTTCTTTTATGAATACAATAGTCAGCGGTCTGTATGTTAAGATACACGAATATGAAAAAAGATAAATGCGATTATAGAATATAACGAAATTATTTATTTATTAGAAAAATTATCTAAAATCTTTTTTCTCGGCATGCTCTGCGTTAAATATTCACTTTCAATTAGACATGTTTAATTATCTCGATAAGAATTTTTCCGATAGAACAGAATTAGAGAATTAGCTTCTTGTTATGCGCAACATCGATGTTTCGATTGATGGACAAATGACGAAGCTTCAAGAACAAGAAGAAAAGAAAACGATGTTTGCATATTAAATCGGTCATGCAGTTATGAAGAAGCGAATCAGCAGTTCATCTAGGAATGGAAACGAGCGATCTACATTCTTCCGCATTTTCATAATGAAAGCATCACAACGCTGGGTTCTACTCAAGACTCCTCGGGCTAACGTCCTAAATTGGACTACGTAATAACCCACTAGCTCTATAAGAATGCTGGTCGGAGAATACTGTTCGCTTCTTCGCGTGCTACCGTGGACCACGCCCAGGCCCGAAGCGACGTCTTCCTGACCTACCATCTGGCAATCAAACCGCGGAGCTACTCGGTTTCCTCTTCAGAAAATCCATATAATTTCGTGATAGCGACAGGTCACATCGCCAGGATCGCTGACACAAAATCATATCTCGCGAACATACGATTGTTATGAAGACACGATCGGAAAACCTTGGGGCCATGTGGGACCTATAAGGTGGGTTCGCGGTGATATCGCTGACGCAAATACCAGTCAGCTGAGATCGGTTTCCAGCGGATGAACTCTTGGCGAGATGTCTCTTCGATTCCGGCTGAGACGCGACTCATTGAAGTAGAAGAAGATCAACCGTTATTATTTCTGAGCGTTGATCATATCTTTCTTTTTCTTCCTTTTTTCTGTATCATTTTCTTTCTTTTTTCCTTTATTCATATTCGTACGGATTGCGTGATAGGTATATATGTCACTGAGAAAAATGTCTGACTAAATTAATTGGAATTTTGATTGAAAATGGAATCAGAATTTTCTGGTTAAATCTATTAAAATTCTATTTGAGATAACCGGAATTCTGATATAATCAGAATCTTGTGATTCGTTCATTTTCAATCAGATATTTTTCTCAGGGTAATATATTTCTCGAAACGTGGATGGAAGGGGGACATCGTGATGTAGCAATTGGCACGATAATATGAAGTAGGCAAACATGAAGCTATATATTACGATATACATGATAAGGTTGATTCCCACTTGATTCTGAAGATGCTAAATACGAGAATCAAATGGGAAATCACGTGTGGCGAGCATAAATATAATCGTCGCGTTTGAAATCAGTCAACTCAGATGCAAACTGCAGGAACTTTCAGTTCTCGTAGAGCCGGTAGGAATATACACATATAGTCAAAGAGAATATCTTTTCAAGATATGAAGCTAATTAAAATAATTTTGTTTACGGTTTACATCTTGATTATAATTAATGTTTTAAATTTTAAGTAATATAAATCACGAATTGTGTAAAATCATTACATAAATTTTTATGTATTTCTAAAGAAAGTAAAAAATTAAATTCTTCGCATATGCTCCTATTTTATATGCTATATTCCTACTTTCTCTTCTAATATGTTATACTTGATGCTATCGATATATCTAGAGACATATTGTGCACAAAGAGATATCATCTAAATTATCATAATCAGAATAAGTTCTTATTTTTCCCATTCTAATCACCCTACAACTTGAGTATCACTCGAGTCCATCGTGATAAATTGTAAAGAATGTATTTTTTTGTATTAAATTTAATATATTTTGTGGCATGCTTTTCAAACTGTGTGTACATTAAAAAGAGAGAAAGTGTTTGAATTTGTACGTTAATATGAGAGTTAAGGATTTTGCGCGACTGATTTTAATGTATCCTTACAATGACATCGTTAAATATCTTTTTGCTTTGATACGAAAATAAAACTATATAAATATTCTTAAATGGTGTTAGTATATTATGCATATTTTTGCTACGGCATCTCGAGAATATCGAGAGCTGCCATTTAGCATAATTCGCACAAATTAATATTATAAAAATCATATTAAAAAAACCATGGCTTTGGGAGCAAACAGGACTTTTTTCTAACTTTTGATTCTTTTTAGTGGAATGAAATCGCGGTCGTACTTTGTACATAGCTTAAATACGTATCAATGCGCGTCTAATATTATTATATTAATTATTATTATTGATTATTATTATTAATTATTATTTTATGGATGTTATCGAAATAGCGCTTAGTCATTCTGTATTGTAGCCGCCGATAGGCCTCACGAGTGTAGAGCTGCATATCGTTGTATGGTATCATAGGAGTGATAATAATGTTATTCTATTATTATTAAAATTATTATTATATTATATTATTATATTATTACCATGATGTATCAATATTCATGCATGTATCGCTAGCTTTACACCACCGAGGCACACGGTCAGCCCGGTAGGAAGATTCATGTTCTTTGTCTCTCCAAGAGAGATGAGATAACATGTATGCGCGTGATGATTCCATGTATGCTTTCCGCAAATCGTATTGTATTAGTGTGTGTGGGAAAGTTCCACTCCAACGGACTACAAATAAATTCGCCAAGTTGTAAAATGCTATTTCGCCCTTCTTTTTTTTATAAATCCCCTTTAGCGTATTAAACAATTGAACTATTAAAATATCTGAGTGTTTCATGATCTTAAAAATCTTTCCATTTTTGAATTCTTTTTTATCATGGAATGATTAGAGAAGCTTTTTCTGGTACTTAAATTCTGGTACTATTTTCGAATTTTGCAGCACAAAAACAGTAAGTACAATTAATTAATTATAATGGATTCTGATTTTATTTCGTTGCAGTATTTTTTGCGTAATACATATAGAGTAATGTAATGAAAATCGTAATGTAAGATAACCATTTTACAAATCGCGACTGACTTACAATTAATCTGCATCTGGTTGAGGCGAGTTATGAGATGACTCAATCGTAGAAATTATCGGGATAATTCATTCCTGAGGATCACTCGGACTTCGTCGTCACGCAAATCATAGCCAGTTAAGCGACGGCCGGCAGCTAGGCGAAAGAGAAGAGTAGCAGTACCTGATCAAGACAGATCTCCCGCAGGCGTGAAATAGCAAGCCGCATGAAACCATCCTTCTTGTCACAATAAGTCAACCGATGATTAGTAGTATATTGTGTTCTAATTGATGTTACACGACAAATATTTTATTTAAAAAAATTTTTAATGTGCTCTA